CTACGAGATGAGCTGAGGGCCTTCTCACACCCCCTCGCACCCATGTGGCTCATATATTCCTTTATTGTATTGCCCTCCACCTCCTCTTTCAACCACTAGCAGGTTTTCTCTTTCCTGCATCTCCATTCCACCCCAACAGGGTAACCCTCCTCCCTCCCAAACTTCCCCTCTCCCCCCAGAGTCTCTGAGGGTCTCTCTAAGGGCCGAAGTGGCCACAGGACCTGCCTGCACCCCCCAGTCCTTGCTTACCTACGTCATCCTCCTTCCCCGACTCCTTCAACTCATCTCTCCTGGCAGCTGGGGGGTTCCCATGGCCTTGTCTATGCCAGACTCTAGAGTCTGGTGTATTGCCCTCCACCTCCTCTTTCAACCACTAGCAGGTTTTCTCTTTCCTGCATCTCCATTCCACCCCATCAGGGTAACCCTCCTCCCTTCCAAACTCCCCCCATCCCCCCAGAGTCCCTGAGCGTCTCTCTCCCCAACGCCAAGGTCTCTTCCTTTCAGGCTGGTCCTCTGACACTAAATGTTCCATCCCCTTTGAAGGCAGTCTGTCACCTCAGAGCCTGTATTCAGGCCCCTCCATCTCCTCCCACCGTCCCCCTCCAAGTCCATCGCCTCCCCATGACCTCTCACCCCTCCAAGTCCATCCCCTCCCCCATCTCCTCCCACCATCCCTCTTGGAGTCCATCGCCTCCCCATGACCTCTCACCCCTCCAAGTCCATCGCCACCCACCCTCTCTCTCCAAGACCCACCAAGGACTCCCGGGTTTAGGCCCTTCTATGTTCCCGAGGGCTCCTCCTCCTCTGTCCTCCCCATGGTACCCACCCCCCCGTCTGTCGGCTCTGCTCTTGGATGCCGACGGGAGCTTCGTTCCAAACTCTCCAAGGGACCCTCCACCTCATGCTTCGCGACCCCTGCTCGGGGCATGAGCCTTTCCGTCCCTGTGTTCCCAGGGACACCGGAAGCGGTGAGACCCAACCTTCTGGGCCCTGGGGCTCCGACCCCAAAAAGACGGAAGGTGTTCACGTGAAAGCCCTTCGGCTGGAAACACGCTCTTGAAGGAATAGTTCTGAGAGCTTCTAGTTCCGCAGACCTGAATCTCAGTCGTTCTGTGCAACGGATCCTCCTTCAGTGCCTCCTATATGCCAGCTTCTGGGGCTGAGAGGGGAAGCGACCCAGACCCAAATCGTCCCTGCCTTCCTTCCCCGTAGAAGCGACAGGTCGTATTTTTATTGGGTACGTGCTGCATCCAGGAACTCACCTAGGCCTCTTGGGGGCGACAAAGACCATCATATGTATGGAAATGTCACCTGGGAGAAACGGGTGGGGAAAACAGCTAAAAGACTGACATTCGGAAACGCATGGATAAGTTCTGCATCACGAAAGGATGTTGTACAGGTCGGTTCAAAGGGGAAGGTCCTTTGGTGTCTCAAATCCAACGGGAGGCCCATGAAGCGAAGGAAGCTTACGCTCCTGAGGCCCCTCACTCGCACAGATCCTTGCCTGGGAAAAAGGAGCGTGGACAATTCAGAGCAGCTAAGATTAGCAACTGCTCAGCACCAATCAGGAAGAATATATGCACCCTGTGTTCATAGCAGCGGCATTTACAATAGCTAAGATCTGGAAACAGCCCAAGCGCCCATCAGTAGACAAGTGGATAAAAATAGCCCATTATTACACAATGGGATTCTAGGCGGCTGTTAAAAATAATAATAATAAGAAGAAGAAGGATCTCTTACTCTTTGCAATAGCATGGATG